AGATGCTTTAAAATTTAAAGAGCACAAACTAGGGACCAGTTAGGATTAAGTAAGAACCTCCCATCCGAACCAGATTCACCTTTTTCTTTTTGCTTATTTAGGAATGTCCTGATAACCTTTCAAGCGCCATCTCATTTCCAAAAGGCAACTGGGAGGGTCAAGCATAACTCCCCCACCCCTTTAGGATGTATGCAGAAGGAAGACTCTTCTATACAACTCCAAGAAACATGACCAGTGGCTAGAAATTTCTTTGTGAAAGTCTGTCAGTTAATAAATCTATGCACATAACACTTTGTGCACTGAAATCCATTTTCAGTGCATACAGCCCCATATTCATAAATATTAATGGATTTGATGTATCTTCACTCTTAATGTGGTGCAGAATATTCCTTATTTCAAAAATTGAAATTCCTTGTTTAAAAAATATTTGAATGCTGTAACAATAAATATTTTTAAAACTGTACAAAGTGGTTTTGTAAACGTCTAAAATATTATAGAAATGAATATTTAAGGCAATTTACATATAGTTTATTCTACTTACATTTCATACAATGGCTTAGTGGAGCCATAATATGCCAGAGCACCAGCTGTGCTATCTTTTTGGTTGAGCATCATTTTTTGTTTAAAGATGGACTATTCTAAAACCTGCATGTTTACTCAAATCATCTTGAAATTTGATGTGTTTCGTTTAAATGCTGGGCAGTGTCACAGTTCCACACATGGGGTCATCTCAGCAAGGGGTTCCTGAAATATACAGCCCCCCCCAAAATAGCATATTACAAAATGTTCATTCTTCTAACTTCTTTGTGCACACACCTGGGGCTTAAACTATAGCTCTAATTATCCCCCAACTGATCTCAGTAGTTTGGCATTTCCGCTAGTGTAAGGTATGGGGAAGCACTGCTGAAAAAGTTACTGACCTTAGAGTTTGTATCTAGAAATCGGCTTGTGCCAAATTGCTGAGCCAAACAGATTGAAGTCAAGACGAGGGCTTGATTGAAACAAGAGCATTTCCAGGCAGGCTGTTGTCACAGTACTTGAGTGGCTCAAGGTGATGTGCTGTGGTCCTCAAACTTGAGTTGAACCCAGGTACTATAAGTTCAAGTTCTTCCCTTAGCAGTTTGTAGAAAACATGTCATGTGGCTGTTCCTTTCTCTCTATCTGCATTCTGTGAGTTTTGCCCCAAGACCAACATTTCTGGTTTGAGTGATATTTAAAGTGCTCTAAAATTCACATGCTGACCCTGATTTTACTGTAGAAGTATTGTCAAGGAAATTAGCATTGATTAAATGGAGGGGAAATGAAACGCTAATGTAATCCTGTTTTCTGAACAATGGAACAGAGTGTAATCAAAGGAAATCAAGTTGTTAGGTCATTTCGTCCAGGGGTTCCTGATACACAGCCTCTCTAACATGAGCTGTTCATGTTCAGATTTTTATAACTTTTTTTTTATTCAGAGTGAGGGAATATGGGGAATTAAAGTAGTGAGGGAGAATGTGTTGGAATGGTGCAGGGAGTGGAGGGGGATAAATGGGGATGGGTGGTTGTGATGTTTTGGGGTCACCCAGGGTTCTGGGTAAGGGGTTCTGTCACTGCCTGCTTTGTAACTTTAGGGTGCCTTAATGCTAAGCTGCTATGGCTCAGAATCCTGACACCACTAGCCAGCCTAAAAGCATAAAAGTCTCACCCCAGTTATTCTTTGCAGGGTGACTCTAACAGCTTTCCCAGTCACAAGTCTCCCCAAATCAATCTACTGAGTTCTTAACTTCCAGACACATTGACTTTTCCCCTGTGGTTCCTCACTCTCTGAAGGAGTGAAACCTGCACCCAGTTATCAGTTCATTTTGGCACACATGCTCTACACAGTTTGCATAATAGAGACCTGATGGGGATAAAAATAAACAAAAGGTGTATTCAGTAGAAAAATCACAGGTGATTCATCAGAGATGAACTAGCAAGGGAAGCAAACACATACAAGTTACACAGAAAATAAACATAAAGATGCTTTGCACTTCTATATTAGCTAAATTTCCCTTTCTAGTACAAGTTACCTATTTTCTTTGAACAGTTTCCCAGTGTGCTCCCTATCATAGAGGTGACTGAGCCTTTCATGGACAGCACTCTGCCTTAGTGTTGACCCTCAGTTTATGGCTAAAAAACCTCAGCCACAAACATGCTTTTAAAAGGCTTCCCCCATCCCCTTTTCACCTGGTATGGTGACTCATGGGTTTTCAGAGTGGGAAAAACTCCTTCCTAAGACTGGGATTTGTTTTTTCAGTTTCAATGTCGTTCCATTAACTTTAATGGTCCATCATTTGTCTTTTCTTGGGTTTATACAGTGCTAAGTGCTTGAAGCTAGTCTCATCTGGGTGGGGAGGCAGCTTTGCCCTGTCCTGCCTGTCTGACCACTTTCTTCTTGTGAGGTGGAACTAAATGTTACAGCACAAATTTATGAGCACATTTTTGTGCCTACGTAAATACATAATTTCATAATCACAGTCTGAATACATATCTCATGACCATCAAATTGAGAACATTACAAGCTTTCATTAAAGACCTTACTTGACATATTTTATGCACAATAACATTGTATGCAACCAGTTGATTCAATTGCTTATTTTGAGGGGATCATACCCCCTGTTCTCCTCTTGGGATGTCTGGACGCTGATTGTCATAGTGATAAGAGAGAGGAATAAGAAGAGGATGAGGAATTATGGTGATTTGGGCCAGGGGATTTGAGGGTGAGGGATTGGAGGGGGTTGAGCTAGGGGATTTGAGGGAGGGCAATGGTGGGCGGGAGGCTGAGAGGGGGACATGGGGGTGGATGGCAGAGGGAGTGGAGGAGTTTTGGGGATGGGAACCTCCAGCTGTTTCTTTGCCAAGATGTAAATGTCTTTCTCACACCCTATTTCCTGCCAAAGAATGGTCACTTAACCAAGTGATGTTCCATTTGATTTTGTTGTCCCCTGGCTGAGGTGTCAACTAACCTTTTGTCTCTGAGGACCTGGTTTGTGGCTGCTTTTAGTAATATCATACAGTAGAATCTTATAACTTTACATACAGTATCACCACACATATTTTACCAGGACAATAATGATCAACAAATTATGAGTTTTTCACAAGGCATACTTTGTACAAGATTTATCATAATCCTATAAAAAGGGGTGAACATAGAGGTACAGATTGTCACAACATCTCTTGAAGCTTTCTACACCGCAAAGGGATGTGTAGAGCCACAAACTAGGCCTAGATTTAGAACAGGAATTCTGCATCTCTACTGTCTTTCCCCTTTTTGCCTCCAGCTGGTGCATACATTCTTCACAATCCCACTACTTTCCCCTGTTCCCATAGAGCCTCCAACTTTAAAAGGGGCACAGAGTAGTAAGTGGGAGGGTGGAGCTGCGGGGTGTGTGTGTGTGTGTGTGCACACGCGCACACAGAAGGCGGGGGTCTTGGAGCAGCAAGATGGTCAGGACAGTAGACATGATGGCAGGAATGATAGAGGAGCTGGGGAGTGTTAGAGATGGAAGGAATACCGGTGTCAGAGCAACGATGAGGGAGATGGCACTGTTGGAACAGTGCACTGAAGAGTGCAATGAAAAGGAGGTGGTCAGAACTGTGCGGTGAGGGATTTTGGGGTGGCTTTATCTCTGTCCCCCCCCGATATGCCCAAATCCATGCTGCCCCCCCCTTCAAAAATGTGCCCTCTGTGTCCATGCCAGCCCCTGCATTCTTTCCCCAGCTCTTCAACCTGTGGGGCCTGTGCCAGTGCTTGCCTCTCCATGGCAGGGAGAGCTGAAGAGGAAGAACCAGGCTGTGTTGGACACGCAGAGAGACGAGTACAAGGAGACATTGCAGAGGCAGTGAAGGGACTCACATGTGGCCCGTGCATTCTGTGGCTGGGTAATCACTGCCAAGGAACCAGAGTCAGTGCAGGTGGAGAGCTGGGCCGTGGTGCATAGGGATGCTGAGAAATTGTTGATAGAAAACATAACAAGGAAATTAAATGCTCCCAAACACAGTGAGAAATTTCCCAGTGGCGCCTTCTGCCCTTCCAGAAAGTGGAGAGTGGTTAAACTTTAACCTCTGAAACCCAGGAAAGGAAAAGTTAAGAATAAGATACATCAGATGCCACCCCTGCAATCTTAACTCTACCCTTTTGTTGTGATACAGTGCACTGTCCCTGCTCACCAAATGCAGGGCCTCCCCCAGGGCACCTGCCTGGCAAGGGGGTCCAGACTTTTGGTACTCTGCTTGGTGTGACCAGCAGCTGGGTGCTGCTTAGGGGGCGTCCATGGGGCGCTGCTGGCTTCTGAGAGCACAAACACAAGGGCCACAGGCTGCCTTCCCACTAGGGAAGGCACAGGACAGCAAAGACTCTCCTCTCCCCCTGGCCTCCTGGTATCTCAGAAGACCCCCCTGATAGAGAGTTAGGCTGAGAAGATGGTCTTGGTGTAATCACAACCCCTGCCCCATCCCTAGATGGGCCAACAGGCATAGGCATTGCCCCCTAAGTCAATTCCCCCCTAATTAAGGGCCAGGTTGCCCTCTAGGGCAGTGTTTCTGCAGATGTCCATGTAGTTTGTGTTTTTACCTCCTGAGGCAAAATTCTTGCTCTGCCACAAAACCTGCTGGAATATTAACTTCCAGCCAGAACTGGGGGTGGGGTGGGGAGGGACACGTATATTCTGGCAGACCCCACCTCCTAGGGAGGGAGGCTTCCTCCTACCCCCAACTTGTGCCTGCCGAGCTGCAGGCTCCGGGAAGCCCGGCCGGGGGCCATGGCACGGGCTCGCCCACCTCTCCCTGCCAGCGAGCTCCCTGCGCTGACAACCAAGCGCCCCCAGGGACGCGCTGTCCGGTGTCAGGCAGCGAGCCGCCCCCGGCTGAGGGAAGGAGACTCTCAGCCAGGCGCTGCCTCCGCCTCCCAAGTCCTTCCAGTGGCGCGGGGGGCTGGGGGAAGTGAGCAGCTCTGCGCCGCGGGCCTGAGGGAAAGGGCGGCTGTTAACAGGCTCTCCCTGTGCCTGGGGTTAGCTGCGGGAAGTGAGGCGGGAGCAGAGCTCTCTGCCCTCCAGGGGGCACGGAGACGGAAGCCGCTCCTCGCTTGTCACATTACATCCATTTGCAGAGCTTGTGTGTGTGTGCAGCGTCCAGCCCCGCTGCCCGCCCCCAGATGCTCCCTGGAAGTTGGGAAGCGCTTCGCCAGCCGGAGACGCGCCTTCCTTCCCCCACAACTTTAGCGTCTCCCCAGTGACCGACATGCCGGATTACAAACCCCAGAGAGAAGGGAGCAAACCCACCCGCCCGCGGGGGTGGTGAGCGGAGCCCGGGCGTGCCGACCACAGGTAAGCGCCTGCTAACTACCCCCAGGCAGTAGGAAAAGGCGGGCTGGGGTCTCTGTGCCCAGGGCTGGGCAAACACTTCTGGGGGCTGGAAGGGGAATCAAAGCCCTCTAGCTCCCGTGCCTTGTATTTGCGCAGCCCCTTGCCCGCTGTGAAACTTCAAGCGGCACCTCTCTCTCTTTCCTATCAGCGTCTGTCCGGTGAATTGCTTCACAAGCCCTGGGTCAACCATTGATCTCTTTCCGTGTGAGGGGCGGCAGCTAGCGCCCTTGGAACTGATACAAAGTAAGAAATGGGTGGGGCTTTTGCCTTTGTAAAATGTATGAATGAATTAATTCATTATAGCGGGTATTCATTCCCTGCTCTAAATCAGCACAACCTGCTTGGTGTGCTGAAGCGCTACTAGTCACTGCTACAGCCAGCAGGTAAAGGGGGCAAGATTTCACACCCCTCTTTCGCCGCCTGCTGAAAAGCATCCGCTTTGTGAGGTCCATTGAAGCAGGATGTTTGCACAAAAAGGGAGTGGGTATCAGGTGCCACAGCCCTTCTCTGTTTTACCAGCATAACTGCACAAACCTATAAACATCATCTGGAACTCCTGCCTAGCCATGCTGTGCGGGACTGAAAACTAAGACTGATCTGATTGTCAGAGATCTAACCAACTCTCCTACTTCTGTATCACTGTTTGCATTTGATTATTACCCGCCCCATCCACTGAAGATTAAATGTAGAATTATAAACCGGAATGAGTGTGAGAGAGGGACTCTGAAATGCCCTGCCTGCGGAGAGGACTAGTGCTGAATGTGCGGTTTTTGCGCTGGGACAATGCAACGCCAGGTGGCGCCGGTTTAAGTGGACAGTGAAACTGGCCTTTGCAGCCCAGCTGTTGCACATTGCACCAAGGAGTTATGGAACTACAGTGACAAACTCGTGGGAGTTTCAAAGTCAGTCCTTCATTGGCAGTAACATTAGAAAAGTAAGCTCGCAGCTGGGTTTTTGTTCTTGAGAGAAAAAATTGTAAGCAGGGCCAAATTCCACTTTTAGTTACACAGTTGTCAGTCCTGAGTAACTCTTGAATTTAATGGAGTTACTTAGTTAAAATACCTAGATGGGTAGTAAGTGAGAGCAGAATTTAGCCCCACAGTCTAGGGATCCAGAATGAGATCAGGAATTTGGCTAGCAGGGGAAGATGCTGGAATTTGGCTTGGAAACACATTCCTACCCTCTGTGGCAAATAGGAGTGTGGTGACAGATTTGTCTGTGTTTGTGGGACACAAGCAGTATTAGGTAAAATTTGGGGATTGTGAGCTGAAGGGGATGGTGGAAGACACATTTTGAGGGCTTGTGAAGTTCAAGGACAGTGAAGAGTGTAGGCTTGGAAAACTTATGGACTGAGCAGTGTGGAGGTAGGTGAAGTCAGAGTGTGGTAGAGATCGGGGTTCAAGAGCTGCGTGGGAGTTTGTGTGAGGTGGGTCTGGTAGAGCTTTGGGGACAGCAGTGCATGCAAGGCGGAGAGGAAAATATTAATGAACCACATCTCAGTCCCTTGTAAAGAAGGAGGTAAGAAGACAGAAGTGAAATGAATGGGAGAAAAATATATAGAGAATGAGAGGAAAGGAGGAATTGGACATGGATTGTCCAAAAAAACCCATTTCTTCCTTAAGGCCCTTGGGCATGCTCTTAACTTGAAGAACACAAGCAATCCCATTGACTTCAGCTGGGCTATACACATACATAAGATTAAACAAATGAATAAGTGTTTGCAGGCTCAGGGCCCTACTTTTTAAAGCAGCAGCAACAACAATATCTCTAATAGTAAATAAATAAACACACATGAACCATATCTCAGATAACTTTTCCTGTAAAAGTTCTTGCTTCCATTATTTTTTGGGTTTTTCTTTCCTTCTCTTTTGCCTATGTTTCTTGTATCTATTTAGTTCTCCTCCCACAGTCAAACAGCCCTGTCAGTGCTTTTAAAAAAAAAAAAACTGTTTAAACACAGTTGTGAGTCATGATTGTGATCTAGCTGTGTAATACTGTGGCTCCTCTTGATTTCTATTAAAAACAAAGAAACACAAAAATAATTCTAAGCCCTTGATAGACATCTAGGCTGAAACTTGGTTCAGCAGTGAAGTATCTGGGCTCCTCCCTAATTTGGTTTTGCAATACTTTTTTGTAGCTCAGTTCCCCCATCTATCAAATCGGTATAATATGTTTCGTCTACCCTTTATCTGCTTTGACTATTTAGAGTCAAAATATTTCAGGGCAGAAACTATCTCTTATAGTGCGTTTGTATGGCCAATGCACAATAGGGTTCTGATATTTGTTGGAACATTTAAGCAACACTGTAATAGAAATATTTTTTTTTCTACCCATAGAGGCAACACAAAACTGGTTTATAATATGCTTGGACTACAGCTCTGTTTAAATTATGGTGGCCACAATTTTCAAACCTGAGTGCCTAAAATTAGCTGTCTAGATCCATATTGACACCTACATAAAATTCGCCTGATTTGCATCGGTGCTGCTGAGGAAGGAAGCTAATGGACACTATAGGTGCACAGCGCCTTTGAAAAGCAGGCCAATTTTAATTGTGGGTAGACATCTAGGGTTTATCCTGTGTACCTTCCCCATGTGCTAGAGCTAAAAGCATATGGGGAGGTATCAGAAGCATCTGACAAATTATTTGCACTATTCTGTCTAGTGCTGGGACAGCTCCTCAGATCAGGCCCCTTTGCCTATCGCATAACAATCTTGCTTCCCTTGGGCCCAGAGAAGGCTAATTGCAGCCCTGACTTCTCTTCTTCCTTTCCTCTAGGTCAGGGGTGGGCAAACTTTTTGGCCTGAGGGCCACATCTGGGAATTGAAATTGTATGGTGGGCCATGAAAGCTCACAAATTGGGGTTGGGGTGAGGGTTCTGGTTGGGGGTGCGGGTTCCAGGGTGGGGCCATAAATGAGGAGTTCAGGGTGTGGGAGGGGGACTCCAGGCTGGGGCAGGGGGTTGGGGTGTGGGAAGGGGTGCAGGTTCTGGCTGGGGGTGTGGGCTCTGGGATGGGGCTCAGGATGAGCCGTTTGGGGTGCAAGAGGGTGATCCGGGCTGGGATCGAGGGGTTTGGAGGGCAGGAGAGGGATCAGGACTGGGGCAGGGGTTGGGGTGTGGGGAGAGGCTCAGGGGTGCAAGCTCCAAGCAGCACTGACCTCAAGTGGCTCCCAGAAGCAGCGGCATGTCCCTTCTCCGGCTCCTACACAGATGTACAGCCAGGCGGCTCTTGCATGCTGCCCCGTCTGCTGGCACCGCCCCTGCAGCTCACATTGGAGCACTGGAGGGGGCCATTGGAGTGTGTAGGAGCCTGAGCAGGGCCATGCCGCAGCTTCTGGGAGCTGCATGGAGTGGCCCCTGACCATGTGCCCCGGCTGGAGCGCCCAAGCAGGGCAAGCTCTAGACCACACTCCCCAGCGGGAGCTCACAGGCCGGCTTAAAATGGCTCATGGGTTGGATCTGGCCCATGGACTGTAGTTTGCCCACCACTTCTCTATGTAGAGGTTTTCCCACCTTCTCTTCTTCTGCCCCAACTTCTGTTCCTCCAGCATTATCCTTCCTTTTTCTCTCTCCTTCCAGCTTATGCTCCTCACCTTTCTGTTTCCTCCTCTTGTCTCCTCCTTTCCCAGAGGTAGTATCCTCCCTGCTCCAACTTCAGAAATAGTTCCACTCCCCTCTTGGCTTCATCCCTCCATCTCCCTCTTATCTTTTACTTGGCTGTGCTGTGTGAGCTTAGTTGGGGGAGGAGTCTGGTCTGGCTGGCTGAGATCCTGGCTCAGGCTCATTGCTCTCTCTCGTTGTGCAACTGGAGGTCACACTGTACTCCCTGAGCACTTTGCTTTTCATAATCCTTTTTTGCCTCCTTGCACTGACTCCCCTGAGCTACTACCCTGAGGATTTAAGATGTATCCCAGGTAAGGTGTGTTCATGGCAGTTTCTCTGCACAAAGGAGTTGCAAGGGGTAGAGGTGGGAGGAGGAAGTTATGTCACCTTTCAGACAGGTGAAGAGCGTTCTGAAGAGGGGCAAGTGAATTATGTAAGACTTCCAATGTGATGGTGCCATATCAAGTTTCCTGCTTCAGTTTCAGTGGCAGATTTTGCTTTTCATTGCTTTTGTGGATGGGACAGAATGACACTGGAGTGTCTGATGATGAGTGTTTCACAAGTCCCCTCCTCCTGTAAATGTAACTCCTTAGTCAGAGATTCAGTGTAATTATGTGCATTTCCTATCAAACTAAAGTTTTTACAAAAGCTAATAACATTTGCAACCTAGCTAGTGTTGAATTCTTGACAAGGATAGGAGCGGTGAGTGGCATTTAGTATTTATTTCTGACTTTTGCAGGTTTCCCACGTTAGGTTGTTCAGATTTCTAACAGACCTGAAACGTGAGTGCTAAAACGTGTACAGTGATGGTTGCTCTTTCTCTAGCTTATCAATCTTGTCCTAATAAAAATGTAAATATATGCATAATAATTTGCATTTCATTTACTTTAGAAAGAACACAGTCATATTAAAAATCTTTTTTTAAAGAAACTAATTTCTCTGCCTGTCTTCCAAAGAGCACCTGAAATACATAAAGCCAAAAGAACTTTAAACATCTAATTTACTTTCTAGACTCTATGCTGTTTACTTTGTGCATTTTTCAGTTTAGAAAATGGAAACAGTCAGTTTCAAATGTGTTTATGGTCATTTTCGAATCAATATCTCTTCCAGGTTCTTATATTTCAGCATAACGCTGGGTTACTTATATTGCAAATACAGCAGAGGAATGTTTGTTTTTAAATACACGGTTTCCATTGAATTTAAAAATAGTGCATGAAAACAATACAAGTAGTATTTGTTTTTACAAAACAAACAAACGAACAAAATAAAACAAATCTGACCTCTTTCAAATAGGGTATCTGCCAGTCTGGTTTCTTTTCTATAACACTTTCAAATATTGTTTTCAATGGCTTTTATTAC